TGCAAGTGGCTTGCAATACAGTTAAAAACACAAATAGATTAGACCACAAAACAAAGGGAGGGGAACCCATAACCACCACAGGAAGCTTTGTCTGCACACTAATAACAAACAATATAATCTTAGTTACAGATTGGTAGCCGTGTTGGTCTGCCATAGTCAAAACAAAAAAAATCCTTCCAGTAGCACCTTAAAGACCAACTAAGTTAGTTCTTGGTATGAGCTTTCGTGTGCATATCTGAAGAAGTGTGCATGCACACGAAAGCTCATACCAAGAACTAACTTAGTTGGTCTTTAAGGTGCTACTGGAAGGAATTTTTTTGTTTTGAATATAATCTTAGTCTGCCAACAGCCAGCCTAGTGAGGGCAGGGAGGAAAGCTATCAGCAAAGGCTCCAGGTAGAGAGTTTGCTAGGGACAGCATTCCACAGATGATAAAATTTATTTTCTTTTTATTGTAATAAAATACTGCTATATTTCCTCTTTTGTACAAGTTTCTTTTAATAGTTTTTTTATATATCTTTCGTCTCCTTCAATTGTTTTCTTGTTTCGTTTGAATTTTTGGAATACTTTGTTAGTCTTATATGTTATACTTTTTATTAAAATAATAATTTTAAAAAGAAATGTAAAGTAGAAAACTAGCCTGCTGACCTTTGCATAAATATATAAGTAGCTCTTTCCACATTGACAATATGTTTTTATTTGAAGCATAGTCTTGTACCCAGCTATCCACAATTTCAAGTAGCATGTCCTTGTCTAAAAAAACACCAAACCCCTTTGCCAACATTTCTGGCATGAAAGAACAACAAATAATGTGTTTCCAAAATTACAATCCATGCAATGCTCCACTGTACATATTTTTTTGTGAATGAGTGTTTGGCAAGCAATATGAAGATGAGCCATCTCATTTGCAGAATGGGATATAACAATGAAATTCCCATGGCTGAGAACAGAAAAGTGCTGGCAAAATTCTTCTGACGCCATAAAAGCAAAATAATTGTTCTGGTAGTGCCTGATGGAGTGGAGAAGAGGAAGTAGTCAGGGCAGTGGATCATAGATCATAGAATTGTAGAGCTGGAAGAGACCCCGAGGATCATCTAGTCCAACCCCTGCAATGTAGGAATATGATTGAGAATAGTAACATTTTTCTGTTTGAATAGGCCAAGTGTTGAAATTTATACTATGGGACCCAAGTCACTGAGAATTTCTGCACGAGCCACAGAATTTCTGCAGAATAACCTCTTGGTGGGTTGTGTCCTGCTTTTGCTATTTGCCACATTGTTGCTTCCGGATGGAATGCCTTGCTAACAATGTTGCATTACTCAAGCTCACATTCATTATTGTCATTATTCAAGCTCACATTCAACGGAAGATACTTTTAATTTAAAAAATAAATAAATTAATGGATTTTCTTTTTTCTAATCACATCACAAATATACTTATATCCATAATATACAATTTGCATGACATCTCCCCCTCCCTCCCTTTGGACTTCCCTCAACTTCCATTTCTGATTTTTTGTCTTCATTATTATATGCTGCTATTTTCTACAATATATAATATTTTCCCTTTGTTACAATATTTGTTCCCTATCCATAAAATTGTGAATGTTTATTTAAATCCTGCCATCGAGTCGATATTCTTTCTTTGTTTCTGCAAGTATAATATAGAAGGTTCCCACTCTTTTTCAAAGTCACATCCAGCGGAAGATACTGATCTGCTCCAGGAAAATATTTCATGCAGCTTAGTTGCTCTTTTATTTTCCGCTAAGTGGAGAATTTTACCCTTCTTGCTGAGTGTGCAGCATTTTGTTCTACTTTGCTGCTTGCTTACAGGAAAGAGAACTACCATGCACCATATTTAAAGCAGCCTAGCAAATATCTCTATTTTAAGTGAGAGGCGATATTTACATTTTTGTTTTGAGGAAGAGGGATGCACGCTACTGTTATTCTGCAGAAAGGTGAGATAAATTGGGGAAATTTCTTTCTCTCTCTGATTATTTACACTCCACTGCTATGCACATTGAAATAATATCTGCTGAATTCAATAGGATTTATTAACAGGAAAGTGCCATATATCCTGGCTTTGCCAATCTGGTGCCGTCCAGATGTTCTGGACTACAACTCCCATCAGCCCCAGCTTGCATGAAATAAGTTTTATGGGGCTTACTTCAAAGTATACCATAGTTATGGATGGGCAATACTGCTTCCCTCCTATATTTTTTTATGCACAGTAGAATATAGCAGTGACACTTTTTACTGTACAGAATACAAACAGTTGGTTTAGGAATTTGATCAATACCTCCCTGTCCACTCACATTCCACATTGATCTCCTTGAAGAAAGGGCAGGGTATGTGATAGCATATTTTAAAAAATGATAATGATGCTAGAGGATATCAGCTATAACCCAATTGTTGTGTGTGTTGCAAATTAACCAGCTGGCAGCATTTAGAAAATAAATACCTTCTGCTCTGACAGGTGATGATCGCACTTCCTTGGATGAAAAGGGTGCCTAGATTAATCCTCGCCCCCGGAGGTATTTGATGCTGTCAAATCTGACAGTGCTAACCATTTGGGGGCTAGTTCACATTTCAAACAGAGATCTCAGGATTCCCAAGAACCATTTAAAAAACCACAGTCATGCATTTGCGTCAGCAAAATATAGAGTCTTAATAGATTCACCACAAACGCTTTGCACTTCAAACAGATGTCACCCAGATAGGGAGAAGGAATGTAGTAGCTGCAGAGGCCCCCATGTCTGGAGAGTCCATTGGCACCCCTGAGAGGTTTACCTTGCCACATGCAGACACCTATCTCCTCTGACCACACACAATGTTAAATGGGCATCACGCAAGTTTTTAAAAAAACAACAAAATGAAAATGGCATCAGGTGGCAGGGAAGCTGGTAATTATGTGAAAACGTTTCTCTTCAACCAGACCTTTGGCTGATTAACATTCTATGTCCTCTTAAATGTGTTTGTGGGAGGGGTGCTATTAATTTGTTTTTGTTTCTAATTATATGTATTTTTGCTTCTCCTTTTGTCTTTGTCTTTGTGAACCATCCTGTGATCTTTGGTTAAAGGGCAGCATACAAATTTAATAATTAGCAATGATCAGGACCAGAGCTGGCTTGGCAGGGAAATTTAACCTTCTTCCTGTCCCTGCTTTTGGTCCTAAGAAAAACCACGCTTCTGAAACTACACTTTACTTGAAGGGGAGAAGAATGTCCTCTTGGCATCTTGCTGGCCCAGAGAGAGCAGGCAGTCCTGGGCAGCTGTCTGTTGCTCAGCTGCAAGAACAAGTGAGTGGTGGTTGCCAGGGACAGTCACCTCTGCTGCCTCAGATTGCTCAAGCCGCCTCCCCCCCCCCCCCGGGAGATGTGCCACCCACAGAGGAAACGCAGGCCAGTGGCAAATAAGAGGAAGTTGCTCTTGCCTGCTTCCCTCCATCTTTGGGTGGTGCAGGGGGGAGGATTGGCCAACAGAGACAGGACATGAGATGCCACCTTCTCATGCTTGCTTTCTCCCTCTGAATGTTGCCACGTGGAGGGGCTGCTGTGCCAGCCAGTGTGAGGTCAGAGGGAGCGTCTCCCCTTGCTCACTTGTGCTCTCCCTTGGAGTAGTGCAGCTATTAAGATTGGGCCCACTGTGCTGCTAAGGAGGAGCAGGTAAATAAGTGTGTAGGGCAGGTGTTATGTACTGAGTTTAATAGGATCCAAAATGCAGCACTCTGATTGGTCCTAGAACAATAGGATCCAAAATGCAGCAGTATGATTGGTCCACAGGAGCCACCCAATCCAGCTCCAGGTGAAAGTGAATCCACAACCTGATGGCCTACAGGAGAATCCCGGAACTAGCCAATCACGTGTGGCCCATTGTGTAAATAATATATATAAAGCAGACAGTGGCGTAGCGTGGGGGGTGCAGGGGGGGCCGGCCGCACCGGGCGCAACATCTGGGGTTAGGGCAAATCCACAGGTTAGGGGGCGCAAATCCACGGGTTAGGGGGCGCAAATTACTTGCCTTGCCCCGGGTGCTGACAACCCACGCTACGCCACTGAAAGCAGATACTTTGGGGGAACTTTCATTCCTTGCCACTATGAGCTGAATAAAGAGCATGAAATCCACACTCGACTCCGAGTATATTTCAGCAGGCAACTCCCCACCCCACTCTCTCTATATGCTCCTGGTCAACCTTATGGGGGACCACAGCGATGGGTAGAGCCGATGAAGAACAAATATTGTTAACTGTATCTTTACGCAATTCACACACACACACACACACAGGTGCGAAGCATGATCACGGCTCAAGGACTTATTCCAGCCAGGCAAGCGCACCCAACGAAGGCATGAAGCAAGGCTGGAAAGGGGCGTGGCCTATAGATAGGGGGCTTGGCCTAGGGTGTGTGGTCAAAGGAGGCTCTGGGATAGGGTCAGGGGGTGGGGAAGCGAATTATTTTTTCGCAACTTGGCCCAATCCTCCCCACGACCCCCTTCCCTCTTGTAGCTTGCGCATGCTCTCTGGTTCTCTCCGAACAGAGTCTCGTGATGGGAGGGGCGAGGAGGATAGGACAACCAGCTGGCGGAGGGCGCAAGGAAGAGGGCGTGGCGCACCAAAGCCAAGCAACCCTCCCCGCAATAATTTGGAACCGGCCGTGGAGCTAAGCCACCCCGCTGAAGCGCCTTGCTCCCCTATGGACCTCACCAACGTCTAAACAAGGCGGGGGGGGGAGCGCTTGTGGGGTGGGGAGACTGGGGACTGGCGGGAAGCAGCAGGCCGGCTAGTTTCCAACACGTGCAGCGCCCCAGCCGCACGCGCCTTCAGGGGGCGGGGCGAGACACTGGCGAGGGTGGGCGGTGAGGGGCAGGCGGGAAAGCTCGCACGCGCGAGCCGAGTGGTGCTTCCCAGCGACGTGGAAAAAGGAACTTCTGCGCGCAAGTCTTCTGGGTGGCACCGAGGAAACCACAGAGAGAGCGAGGGTGGGGGTGGGAGGGGAAGGAGAGGGGGAGGTTCCCGCCCTCAGCGCGCAGCCATGGGGCAGCTGTCGGCACGCTGCCTGCAGAGCCGCCTTAGGTAGCCGGAGCGCGGCGTGTGTGTGTGTGTGGCCATGGCCGGCTGGTGGCGAAGGCTGAGGGGGCGCCTGGGCGGCGGCCTCGCCTGCTGCTGCCTGCTGCTGCTTTCTGCCTCGGCGCTGGCCTGGGCGGCCGAGGAGGAGGCGGCGGCGGCGCGCGCGCAGACCTTCCCTCAGCCGCTCTCCAACCTGGCGGCGAGCGCGCGGCGCTTGCTGGTGGCCAGCGGCAATCGCTGGTACGAAGTGGAGCCCTCGCTGGCCTGGGCGAAGGAGCACCGCAGCAGCCCGGCGTTCGACTCGGGGACGACGGTCAACAAGCTCCTGCTGCCCTTCGGCGACGACCGCCTGCTCACCTGTTGGACGCAGCCGCAGGGCTCCTGCTACGAGGAGCGCCTCGGCGCCGACGCCAACGCCACCGTTTTCGGGCGAGAGGTGGTGACCTGCTTGCGGAATGGCTCCGCCGCCGGGTGGATCTACGCCCGCGGCTCCGAGTGGCGGCTGGTGGTGGCCACGTCTCGCCGACTGCACGATTCCAGAGACTTGGATCCAGAGTGCCTCGCAGAGGGCGACTCCAAAGTGGCCGTCGCTCTCCAAGAGCGCCAGAAGGCGGTCCCGGAGGACCACCGGCTGCTGGTGGACGACGGCTGCTACTTGCACTTCGCGGACGCGTTCCTGTGGAGCGGGCAGTTCTTCTTTCCTTATTATCACTACAGCCTCAGCATGGAGCCCAAGATGCTCGTGGCCAACCAGATGCCGGCAAACCGGTTCTTCGGCCACGGCCAGGCCATCTTGCGCTGCGGCGGCGGCGGCTTCACCCGGAGGATCCTCTCTTCCAACTACGTCCAGGAGCGCGGGCTCTGGGTCGGCGTCTTCGGCTCGGCCGAGGGTCCGGCCACTCCGACCTCCACGGCCCTTTGCATCTTCAACCTCAGCCAGGTGTCGAGCGTTTCGGAGGGATGCGCCCTTGGCGATTCGAACACGATCTGCGCACACGAGCCTGCGGAGACATGTGTGAGTAGTTTTGGTTATAGGTTGAGCGTTGCCCTGCGGAATCGGAGACCAGAGGGCCGGCTCTAACAGCGCACCGTCGTTGTTGCCGGCTGGTCTGATGCTCAAGGTAGACCGTTTTAAAGATGTGAAATAACTTTGCGGTCTCCTTTGCGCTTGCAACAACCCCATAAGGTCGGTCGCGTTTTCTAGCCCACTGGGTGAGTTAATAGCAGCTGAGACACAGTGAGTTTTCTAGGTCAATGGTAAAACACATTGGGGGCATTACTCGTCTGGGTTCCTGACTATTCTTTTCTTTTTCGTACGTGGCTTAATGTCACAAAGAGGCAGTCCGCAACAAGATTTCGCTTTCGTTTTTCTTATCAAATTATCTCCCCACCCAAAAGGCAAATCTGCATTAACTGGGGAGGGAAATTACAGGCTGGCATGTACAGCAGTGATGTTGTGTAGATGCTGCAAAAATAGGGTTGCCATATTTCAAAAAGTAAAATCCCTGACACTTGCAAAATTGTTGAGCTATTTTTTAGGACACCACCAAAATTGTTGACCTTTTTTAAGGAAACCACCAAAATGCAAAAATCTGCTGCACTAATCCCACAATAAAATACCCTAAGCATCTTGGAAGTACTCGCTAGCAAGACCAGTGGTCAGGGATGATGGGAATTGTAGTTCAAAAACAGCTGGAGGCCCAAGGTTGGGAAACACTAGGCGGCCTAATCTAGATATGGAAGGAGCAGTAAAGAAAAATCTTGCATGTACCCTGTGACTCTTAAGAATATTCCCGTCTTCACTGTCAATATTTGTAACTTAAGGTACATAGAAAAAAATACTAAATAGTACAGGGCAGAACAGGAAAGTGTGTAAGCTTTCTGTGTAGGTTTAACCATAAGTTTGAAGTTGTCCATATTAATGAATGCTGCTGCTGTTCTTATTCCAATTTATTATCTGCCCTTCACCCTAAGGTTCAGGGGCAGGTTGCAACAATTAAAACGCAGCATTAATATTAAAACACAATATAAAACTGTTTTTCAACAACTTAAGATTACTAAAACAAGTTAGGTCCTAAAAATATACATTTCACATGTCAAAAGCCAAGGTGAACAGGTGTATCTTCCACATTTGCCGAAAGTTGTATGATGGTGTGAAACAGCTGTCATCAAGTTTCGCTGAAATAGAAAGACTGGTAGAAAAAGAAAAAGATTATACCAAGCACCCAGAAATTCCAATATTTGGAGAGCTTTTAAAAAGAGTCAGACAAATTAATGAAAGTAAAGTAAAAGCTTCCCTGGAAAAGACCCTGATGTTGGGAAAGATTGAGGGCACAGGAGAAGGGGACGACAGAAGATGAGATGGTTGGATAGTGTTCTCGAAGCTACCAGCATGAGTTTGATCAAACTGTGGGAGGCAGTGGAAGACAGGAATGCCTGGCATGCTCTGGTCCATGGGGTCATGAAGAGTCGGACACGACTAAAGGACTAAACAACAACAACAAAGTAAAAGCTACAGTGGTACCTCAGGTTACATACACTTCAGGTTACATACGCTTCAGGTTACAGACTCCGCTAACCCAGAAATAGTACCTCGGGTTAAGAACTTTGCTTCAGGATGAGAACAGAAATCATGCTCTGGCGGCGCTGCGGCAGCGGGAGGCCCCATTAGCTAAAGTGGTGCTTCAGGTTAAGAACAGTTTCAGGTTAAGAACGGACATCTGGACCGAAATAAGTACTTAACCCGAGGTACCACTGTACTGGCCATGATTGCTATTCTACACCTCCAAGGTTGAAGGTTGTACAAGGGGGAGAGTACTCTTGCACTTAGATCCTACTTGTGGACTTCCCACAGGCAGTCTGGTTGGCCATTGTGAGAACAGGACTGTGGACTAGATGGGCCATTGGTGGGACCCAGCAGGCTCTAATTTAGAAGGAACTTTCACAGGGAATACTACACAAAAGTTTACTTATGGGTGGAAGACAGTCTCACAACTGATAATGGGTAGCTAACTTAAGAAAGCAAGGTGAACTTACTGTGTGAGGGTTGTGGGGTGAGACCTATGACAGGGGATCCATTTCTCTGGATATGTTGAACCCAACAACAACAACAATTGCCCTTCACTGCAAGGTCCTAGGGAAGGTTAAAACAACAGCAGGTAACAACAGAGGTAATATTTATGGGTTAGCAGAGTATGTAACCTGAAGCGTATGTAACCTGAGGTACCCCTGTACAGTTAAAAACAAAGTAATCACCTGCAAGTGCTGAAAGGCTGAGCAGATGTAACTCTATAGAAGAAGTTCAGCCAACATGAATTACTGTCAAGCCCCCTTTGGTTTCAGACAGATGCTTCACTTTCCCACTTACTGTTGGATGAGTTGGCAAAAAAACGATGTCCTGCTAGCTGAGCATATATGAAAGAAGATCTCATGATGTTGCTCAACATAGGAAGCAGAAAGTTGGGTTTGCAGTGGCAAGAAAGTTACTAAACAGCTTTGCAAAGAAAGGCTTTTCTATTTGAAATGGCAAGTCAGCTCATCACATGCATGTGACCAAATTAAAAAAAAAATGCTTCTTGTACATTAAGTGCATCCTTTATTAAGCATTGACATATAAATCTCTGCAAACACTAATGGGGGAAAAAACAACAGTTTGCTGTAGTGTTGTCCATTATCTAAACCAGCTTGCAAGGCAGAACAGCGTTTTGTTGGTGCTGGTATCATAAGGAAATAAGAAGAGTCTGCTGAAGAGTCTGCCAGTGGCCTATCTGGTCCAGACCCTGTTCTCACCAGACTCACCAGATGCCTATGGGAAGTCCATAAAGTAGGATCCAAGTGCAAGAACCCTGTCCCTTCACATGGCCTCCACCCAGAGCATGGTCATCAAGGCTAGTAGCCTTTGCTTTACCTCCATTCATTTGTCCAATCCTTTTAAAAAGTTGTCCAAGTTGGTTGCCTCCTGTGGGAGTGAATTTCATAGTTTAATGATATGCTCTGTGAAGCAACTTTTTCCCCTATCTCTAATCTTCTAACATTCACTTATCCACAATCTCTAGTTCTTTGAGAGAGGGAGTAAACCTTTTTCTGTATGCACTTGGAAGTCACACAGTGGTGAAAATTCATCATTTGGATGAGGGTTTCCCAAACTTGGGTCGCCAGCTGTTTTTGGACTACAACTCCCATCCCTAGCTAGCAGAACTAGTGGTCAGGGATGATGGGAATTGTAGTCCAAAACAAGCTGGAGAACCAAGTTTGAGAAACCCTGATTTAGATTATGGTTGGAGAACCTGGGATGAGCCTAGATGTTGCTGCTTCAGCATTCTGGATACATTAGTATGAAAAACAAGAAGAAAATAGATTGCCAACATAGTAAAAAAAATAGAAATACACTGAGTATGCACAGAATCACATTTTAAACCAGAGCTGTGGAACATTTTTGGCTATGTGGACCTTATTTGGCAGGTGGGCAGGACATCACATAGTTAGGACTTGAAAACACCATGCATAGCCAGCCCAGTAGTCTTGGCTCTACCACTCAGCAACTGATGGGAGTTAGTCAAAGCTTGCTATAGGGTGCATGATGGAGTTCCCTGCAGTGAATCCCCTTCCACACGTGTTCCAGCAGACTTCAAATAACATATATTTAAAGAAAATAAAATAAAATGAACATCTGTAACCCAACCAGCCACCCTGGCTATAAAACTGTTTTAATAAATAGGAAAACAAGATGTTTTTTACCGTTGTAACAATTTTATTTTCAAAATGTGTCTTCTGTATCATGAAAAGTAAATAAAATCATCATTATTTTAAAGTGTAAGGAAGAGTCCCTCAAGCCTTTACTAGTCTGGCCACTGTAACCTAGGGATGGGCCCCCCAACATGGTGCCCTTGTGAACCCTGCTTGGTTCCCACCAAGGCCCCCTGCACCTCCCAATTTTTATATTAAATTGAGGTGTGGTTTTGTTTTTTGGTTGTGGGCTGGTTGCATATTTTGTAGTGCCCAAGACCGTCCCTTACATTGGTACCCTTTGGCCCTAAGAGGTTGGGAACCTGAAAGGAATGGGAACAGTTCTTGCCTCAAATGGAAAACGTTCAGGCTGCATGAGATGTTTGGAAAAGTAAAGCCTTTTCTGCAGATAGCCCTTCTAAAGATGAGCAACTCTGGTTTGCATGCTTTCACCGAAGTATTTCAATGGGCATCCTTTCAGTAGATGTATTTGGGATTGCTGCCTTGGATGTGTAACGTGAGACTGAATGTTGTAGAATGGGAAATCACACTTGGTGGATATTTTGTGCCTTGTCTAGATATTTTTGTTTTCAGATTACAGTGGTACCTTGGAAGTCAAACGGAATCCGTTACGGAAGTCTGTTCAACCTGAAAAAACGTTAGGAAACCAAGGCATGGCTTCCCGTTGGCTGCAGGAAGTTCCTGCAGCCATTTGGAAGCTGTGTCGGACGTTTGGGTTCGTTCACAAAGCAGAACACTCACTTCCAGGTTTGCGGCATGCGGGACCCAAAACATTCGACTTGTAAGGCGTTCGAGATCCAACGTATGACTGTACTTCTAACTACCAGTTAAAGGACCTGTACAACTATTCAGAAACTTAGATTGGCACACTGGTTGTTTAAATACTTTATTTTTATATACCAGACATGTTCAACCAGTCAACCGCAATGTACAGGTAGATCGCCAGGGTGACCCTGGTTGATCACGGAAATGTTTTGGCCCCACACCCCAGGCACTATGTCCCTCCTCCACCTCCTCCACAGCAAGGAAAGTTGGGGCAGACGGGAAGCTCAAGTATTGTTTCCTGGCAGCGTCAAGTGGCTATCCTCCCCCCAAAAAGCTCAATAACACTTGCCCACCCCAAAACCTCAACTCTTGGCAGTCCTCCCACCAAAAAGCTTGACAACTCTGACAATGGGTAGATCACTGCCAGTTTTTTTTAATAGTGGGAGTAGATCGCAGTCTTTAGGGAGCTGGACGTGCCTGTTATATACCATTAAATCATGAAGA